TCCTGCTGTATTACGGCCGCGCAATTACAGTGTTATTCTCCCTGTGCAGATAACCCTGGCATAGCATAGGTCACATACATGTTTTCACTGGTAAATGACTTCATATCACATTGAGGTTGGCTATGGCCATATCTCCAGAGAAAGTTTTCTTAAGCATTAACACCTATCTGTCATCACGAAAAGTACACACAGAAGGAAAAGATACAGAATGGAGAGGTCAAAAAGGGCAGAGGAAGAAGGATAACAACCAGACGCGTCTGCTAAAAAAGATTGCTTCAGAAAGGACAAACTGTCCCACTTCTGAATGCTGTTTTAGCTCAGGGGAATTGAGATGTAAAAAGCAGCAAGGCAGAGCACCATGGCAAGGGGAGAAGGCAAGATTCAGGAGGAGAAACAGGTAGCAAAACCGTTTGTACAAGAAGCAAGAACGTATTTCAAGAAAAACACAAAATGAACTAGGGGAGCTGCTTGAAAGCTAGCCAGACACTGGCTCCACATCTTTCCCTTAAAATGGATGGCCAAGATCCTGGTGCTGCTTTGAGAAACTTCAAACCTTGTTCCATGGCAGTGCCCACGGGCCCCATCAGACGGGGCGGGTGAGACAGCTCCAGGTCTAGATATCTCAGCTCTGGGATGAACAAAGCATGTTATCTTACCAGTTCTGGAGCACAAAAGCTAAGTTTTAGTCCCTCCTCTTGTCCCCGTTTGCCTCCCTCCTCCTTCATGGTCATACCACCTCCTTCCCTTTTCCTGAATGCGGAGGTGCTCTTCTCTGCAATACTGCAGCACTTCTTTGACCTCTGTGACCTGGCCCGATTTTGCATTTTACTCTCCCCTTCCATCCTCACCAGCTCACACTACTGTGGTTTCCCCTTCTCTCTGCATATCTGCATTTGAAAATTTCCCAAGAACAAAGAAAACGGACAAACATTTAAAACGTCACAGTTATATGGAAACGGGACACAAACAGTCTCCTGGGCTGTACCTACAGGAGCAACTGTGTGGTGGGTGGGTCTTGCTCAGCGCCTGAACGGGTGGTTTACTGTCCCTGCCACTGCATTGCTGAACTTGTGATTCACACAGATTGAATCTGTGATTCTGTGAACTTGGCTCTTGAAAAATGAGGATCTGCTTCAAAGTCTACTGCAGTGGAAAGAAAGATCAGCGTTGAGAACCTCGCCTCAAGAAAGACCTCTCAATGAACCAGGAAAAATTGTGCTTCAGAAGTGACGCCCTGCATTAAAAGGCACTTTCTGCCATGCTCTACAGCAAGATCCTGGATGGCTGGAAGGAATCTCCAATTCAGACACTGAAGGGTCCATCCCCCCTGCTGGCTCTGTGCAGGCTACTGCTTTAAAACTATGTCCTGTGCCAGTTATCTGCAGCCACTGAACAACCCCGGTTAACGTGCTCTCCACAGGGTCTGCAGCATCGCTGGGCAGAGAGGAGGCATTACTCTTTTTTTAAAAAACAAATAAATGTCCTTCAGTCTTCACATCCACTCTTGGGGCTGACACAGCTCACCTCTTGAGACACTTTGCTCAGCTGCACGAGCTGTGCCCTGTTTGTGCCTTGCACGCCAAAAGTGCAGCAGCAAGCGTGCAGCTGGGCTTCACGAACTTGGAAAGAGGATGTTGGCCAAGCCAAAAATCAAATTATCTTGTGCCTGCAGTAAACTGCAATGCAGGTCAGCTAGCACATGGCAATTTAACTGCAGTAACCTCAGCATGTATTTCAGCTATGGGAAAAAGCTTTGTCCACTGTCCCCCATTACAGGGAAGGTCAGAGTCCCATCCTGTACGTGTCTGGTAGGGAGAAGAGAAATTGAATGGAAACCCTTATTTTCCCCAACTTCATTTTAAAGAAATCCTAGTGGCAGATGAACTGCAGCTTTCAGTGCACAGAAGCCCCCTATGGATGCAGTCTGCCATTCAGCGCCCAGGTAGACGAAGGAGATGTACACGACTCTGCTGCGTTCAGTCCCTTCGGCATGCGTTTGTCAGACCCACCTGGGAGTTAACAAGACGAACTGTTGTCTTTTCCCCCACATCTTCTTTAAATCCCCTGGTAGGAGCCCCATTAAATCGTAAGACCGCATCGTGGCTGTCTGAAAGCAAAAAACAGTGAAAACCAGTAAGCTAATTGTCTTCTGAAATACGAAAGAGACAAATAAGTTATCCACCTGCATTTCTAACGCAATCTGGCTAGTTATGGAAGAGTTTCCACGTAACTACTGGAAGGACCAAGCCAGATTCTGTGGAAGCAGCTGTTGGCCCAACGTCACAATCAACATGCTTTGTAAAAGCCAGCTTTTAAAGAGCACCACCTGCTCGCAGGTTGAGAGAGCAGCCGTAACACCCACAGCGCACAGAGGTGTGCAGCATCCCCCTCCCTCTCCTGCCTTCCAAACAGATTACGAGGACATACACTGATCTACAACTGATTTTCCTCAGGGCTGGCTGCAAAATAAGGAAGCAGGAAATAACAGAGAGCCAGTGTCCTCTCCTGGAGCCTGGGGGATTACCAGCCTGAAGGAACACACAGAACAACTGCAGTGGCAAACAGAGCCGGCTCCACCTGCCAGCATCTCTCCCACGCTACCGAAATAAAACCACTGCTGTGTATTTAATAGGCCTGGCTTGTTAAAAACATCGGAATTCACTGCATTCTCCTCTGCTGGCATCCCTCCAGCTTCCTCTTCTGCCCCCACAGTCACCCTTCCTGCCCTGAGGTCACCGAGCCAGAGGTCTGGGCCAGACGTGCTGAAGCTCTTGCAGAAACGGTGCACGTGCCCTTCACCCTGACACCCCACGCTCCCTACCCACTGGCTAGACTCACAGGAAACTTTTCATGTGTTCAGGGGCATCAAGGCTGTTGGGTTACACGAGCGCCCCCAGCTTCCCTGCGCTCACGCTACGGACACATGACCGCAGCTTGTTCCAGCTATGGCCGATGGCAGTGGAGAAGGGACCGACCCCTCAGATCAGGGCAAAACTGCTCATGTGGTCCTGAAGCAGGTATGGAGCAGTCTCAGTCCTGATCATTTTCATGAAGAAAGGGGCGATCACAAAAGCAATTCTGGAGGATCAGTAATTGCTTGCAGAGAAGACTAGTTTCTCAGCTACTTATTCTCATAGAAAAGCGGATCTTGTTCAGAGCCCTTCCAAAACAACTCACAAAACCCCAAAAAAGTCATGTTTCTGAATAAAAACTTGTCCACATAGAAAAATTCTGTGGCTACCGTTGCAGACCCTTAATTTCGCATCCTACCTTACACCTATGTCAATGAAGTGCAGAGTTATAATTTCCCCATACAATTTGGGCCAGAAACCAAGTGTTATTGTACCCTAAATTTACATTTTAAAGTCGTGTTTAATGAATGCCATTTGATGAGTCTCACACAGAGCACAGCACAGACAGAGTGGTTGGGTCTGTGTAGCACTGTCTCCAGGCGGTTATGTTGCCACCACTTGGACAAGTTTTTATTCAGGAATATCACTTTTTGGCCTTTGAGAGTTGTTTTGGAAGGGCTCTGAACAAGATCCCCTTTTCTGTGGTTATTTCCCCATCAGATTTTTCACTGGTGATTCATAATCTCCTCTACTGCCATGCACCCATGAAGACAAGGAATTGCCTATTCACAAGCTGCTTCTTCCACTCCACAAGCCTTCTTCCATTGACTAATTCCTCATTTCACTTCTTAAAGTCATCACTGATTACCCATGGCAAATATTTCCTGGGCCTTTAATAATAATAATTCAACAATTCATTGTGATCACCCAAGTACAAGCAAAATCTTGATTTTCAGCATGTCTGATTTAGTACCTTTTTGACACCTTCTTCCAACAAAGCTATACCTTTTCCTACATGGAAACAGGTTAGAAAAAAGTATATACAACACGCACACACGCACTTTCCTGACTCCTCCTCTATACACAGCTCCAAACTCAAGGGGTTGTAGCGAGACAAGTCTCTAGGCTTTAAGCACTTAAAACTTTGCAGAATCAGTAGCAGATATGATCTCTCAAGTAGAGAGGTTAAAGTTTGAGATTCAACCATGAGGCAACCTAGCCAGGGACACCAGCAGGGGCTAATGGAATATGCCTTTGGCACATTAGACAATGACCTTTTAAGAATCCATCCACGGCAATCTGGAACAAACTGGTGCTTCCATTTAGAAAGCTAGACTAAGAGACTAGCTGTAGGGACAATGACACTGCTTTCCATGTCTGAGGTGTGTTCAATTGCGCAGCAGACAGAGCACAGCCCGTTATCCTTTTTGGCCACTCAGGTATTGAATCCAGCACGTTCAAGAATCAAATTATAAGACGCTATAAACATCATCCACAGATCCTGAGAAGATCTCGTCATGGAGGAGCAAGCAGCTTTATCACTATCTAGGCGTCTATCAAAGATGCCTTTGCAATCAAGGCAGCTCTGTCACAGCTGTGTCACTCTGTTAAACCAAAAAGATTTGGGTCACTTCTGTAGAAACTTTTAGCTATTGAACTTCAAGAGACACCTAAACAATCCAAAACAGGCACTCAGAGAAAAAGTCACAACTGACTTGCCAAGCCTTAGCCTACCTGGCATCAAATACTCTAAGAGGCTGGAACAACTACATCAATCAACTCTCAAATGTAAGTTTTACCACAAGGTAATCCCTCTCCTGGTTAATATTGCCCCTACCTTTTTCCTAGCATCTTTCATAGCATTTTTAACACCCTTCAGAGACTGTTCAACCTCACTGTAGCACCTGCCTACCCACCTGGTGGAGCATGCAGAAGTTTAGGGGAGGAACTTTGGAGCAAGTAGCAGAACAAACCCTTACCCTCCCGAGAGCATCTTGGCACTATGACTCTGAAGGTTTTACCTAGGTTGTCCATCAATCATGTATTAAAGGGCTATCTATCTACTTCAGAGGACAAAGAGTACTTCCAGCTTAGTACAGGCCAAAGGGACCTGATCCAACAGATCACTTACAAACATGTTTAAGTCTGAGAATAGTTTCCATAGAAGGGAACATTCACAGTCTTTAAAACTATTCCTGCAGTAAAGCTTCAGTTTAACAAAGACTGCTGTTAACTGAGCCTCAAAAAAAAAAAAACCACCCACAAAACAAACAAACAACATCCAATTAATGAAGCAAGCTGAGTGAACTGCAGGCACAGGAGAATCTTCTGCCAAGCACAAAACCCTGAGTTGAAGGATGGAGGGCTGGTTTCCCTAGACGCTGCTTTTTTTTTTTTTTTTTTAGAGACATGAAGTGCTTTAGTATCAAACGTGTCCTTATAATCCACAGTACAAGATTAATGCTTCAGTATTTATTAATTAAACCCATAACTTCAGATAAATACGGTCAGATATAGAAATTTACAACTGTCACCAATCGTTGTGTAAGGGAGAGAGAAAACAGCCCTCTAAAGCTTTCTCCTACCTATGTTTGAGCAAGGGACACAGTCTTGTCCTACTGGTTAAAGTATCTCTTGTTCGGTGGCTGCTGGTAGATTCAGCCAGGGTAAGGATGAGGCTCTGAACCAGTGAGATAGCTTCAGTACGGACACCACGGCGTGGCCCTGCGACCGCCAGTTAAGCTTTGCTGCTGTTAGAGCAGTAAGAGCACCCACTGGAGATAAGTTTGAAGGAGCATCTCAGACAACCACCTCCACACTGCTAAAAAGTATATTTGCCAAGCAGCGACCCAGAAAACTGGCAGAGCTTCACCTGCACCTGCCACGGGCCTCACTACCGCCTAGCGTATCAACATGACAGTACAGCACAGACCTTGGCCTTCTGGGCCACCCAAACTCAGCTGCCACCTCATGGCTCAGGATGCGTACCCTGCAGTGCCACTTTTGAAACCCATGAACAAATAAACAGGATCACAGCATGGCTGAGGTTAGAAGGCACCCCCGAAGCCTGCCTAGTCCAACCTCCTTGCTCAAAGCAGGGTCAGCTACAGCAGGCTGCACAGAACTGTGTCCAATTGGGTTTTGAGTGTCTCCAAAGACCTTTCCTTTGAGTGATTTCCTTTACTTCATTCTCTGAAGAATGTTTTCCAACCATTAGCACGCCACAAATGAGAATCTGGGTATTACTCAACCCACCCCACACCCTCTCAAGAAAAACACAAGACATTTTCCTGACTTCCAGTATTTGTTGCATCTAACATGAACAAAATCACAAGAACTGAAAGAAGGTTTCACAGGTGTGAACTATTCAGGATGGAAATACCTACACATAAATCATGTTTCCTCAACTCAACCCAGCCCCTTCCACTCCCCTGGGGCCTGCCCATTTGGGTAAATATTTCTATTTCCTGCTTTCCTGCTGAAGGAGAATAGCGTTATAACATAGCCAAAGCTTCACATGTTTCCAGAGTTGAGACCGTAACTTCTTTCTATTAAAATTATTTTCATTTCTACCACTGAGACACAGTTGCTGCCACCAGGGTTGATCACGAGAGCTGTTATGGCCAAGTTTAGCCCAAGGTCTAACGTTCACAGGCGCTGTGATCTAGGACATCGCAAGGCAGCAGGCACATTGCTGGGTGCACCCCCACAGAGGAGGGGAGGATCTACTTATTACTCCCCTCTCCTCCTAGGCTGCAATGTTCACTAACTATAGGAGAGATTTGAGGATAATATTTCAACTTATTTAAACACCTCTGTGACTACAGTAATGACTTATTGGTAAGAGCGTGATCATGGATTCCTTTTGTTCAATGTAAGGTATGGAACAATGTTATTTGCCTTTATCCTAATAGGAAAATACCAACCTATCTCTGGTCCCAAGTGAGATGATTTCAGAGACCCTGCTGAGGACACAACAGCACAGCGCTCCAGGCGGCCCATTGTTTCATTGAGGCTTTTCCTTGGTAGGTACCGCTGCCACGCAGAGGTATTAAATGGACCATCTGATCCCTGTACCATTGTTGTGTTCACCCTGTCCCGCAGCTGGCACAGCAGGTTCTCTGGGCTGAGTTTAGCAGCACTCCTCTTCTCACTGTAAGTCACGTTGTACTTGTTCATGGACAAGTAGTTCTTTCTCACCTTCTGCAGCCTGGGAATGAGATTCTGGGATGAACTGTCCTTATCCCACACCTTC